TGATGACCTTCAAACAAGGCACGCTGCCGAGTGTTGACTGGATTGCCGAGTACCAACGCTTGACATCCGTCCCAGACATTCAAAAGGGCTTCAAGGCCGTCAAACACTACTTCATCTCGAGGTCGTGTCCGACGTTGGGCAACGCCTTGATTCACGTCGAGGACACCCTGATGACAACGGCGGAGCTCTTCGACAAGGCCGCGCAGATTATTGTCACGAATAAGGAGGCTAAGGACCTCCACCGTTCATCTGCAACAGGCCGAAAGTGGCCATGGTCATGGCAGCAACGCCAACCGACCAATCTAGTCAGGTTGTGTCTGCCAACGAAGGGGACGGGCTCACAGCCGCCCGGGATGGTGGCCACCCCGGCAAAGGCCGAGGACGCGGCAAGACGAAGACAAATACCGCATCTATCCCCGGGCTCGGCGCAACAGCTTCAGCCCCATGTTCCCACTACGGTCTCTACGAACAGGCGTACAAGGCACGCACAAGATTCCGCTATTGCCTGTAGTGTAACAACGATCTCCACGAGACAGTGAGTTGCCCGTCGAAAGGCAAAGGCAAATCGAAAAACTGGGCATTGCCGGGAGTAAGTGAACGACACTCTCGACGCCTTCGGAACCGGCCACTTCGTGGGTGACCGCCCTACGTTTCGAGGCACGTGTGGAAGTCGATAGTCCTCTTCTATACTCTTATGAGGACTATGCTTCCCAACTCGTTTCTATGTTGGGTACTCATGCTCAAGGACAAGACGTGTGCGGCATCTTCCCCGTCAGGCAGCGGCAACTTATCGTTTTCAAGTGGTTCTTCACGGGTTCGGCGCGCTAGTTCAACATAGAGGTATTGGACCCGCTCACGTCTAAGGATTTCGCATGGCTTCCTCTCCCGACCACGGGTCGTTTGCCGAGACCGCAATGCGCAGCATTGTGCGCCCATCTTCACACGTATCTATCCTTCTATGCACCACCAACTTCGCCGATGGAGGACGAAGCTGCGATGGGGGACATCCTTGCGTATGTTACCAAGATGGCCCGCGAGTTTCGCAAGCAGCGGTACGATGACAACAACGCACCGCTCCTCTACGTCCGCATTCAAGTTGGGCAAGCGGCCTGCAATGCTTTCCTGGATAGCGGCGCGTCTCACAATTTCGTGAGCCAAGCCTTTATGCCAAGGGCTGGCCTTGGCACACAAGTTCGGAGGAAGGCCAACCCGACGGCGATCAAGTTGGCGGACGGAAGGACGCAACAACTTATCGACCGCTACATCGAGGTCGTTCCTGTGTATTTCGCACCTCATGCATGCAAACCGGTGACATTCGACATTTTGGACATGGACTTCGACACTATTTTGGGAATGCCTTCGCTTGCAAGTGCGGATCACACGGTCAACTTCCACTGTCGGACTCTCGCCGTTCGGGACGCCTTCGGCGCCGAAGTGCTGTGTACTATTCCTCTTTCGCACCCTTCGATCCGGTGCCAAGTGGTGACGGCCAAGTCATTCCGGGCTTATTGCGCTTACGAGCAGCCCGACGAGATAGGCCTATGCTTCCTATGGACCGTCGTGGCAGCCGACTCTTCACCCACGGACTTGTCTTCAGACCCCCGTGTGGGGCGGTTGCTTAACGAGTTCGCCGACATCTTCGAGTCACCTACCGGTGTGGAGCCGGATCGGCCGATCTCTCACGAGATCATTCTTGAGGCCAGTGTCGTGCAACCGAAAGGTTGCATTTATCGCATGAGCGAGGAGGAGCTTACGGTCCTCCGCGCGCCACTCGACGACTTGTTGGACAAGGGCTGGATCCACCCTAGTAGCTCTTTATATGGAGCACTAGTTCTCTTCGTACGGAAGAAGAACAAGGATCTACGATTGTGCATCAACTTCCGCAAGCTCAACTCGCGAACTGTCAAGAATGTGGGGCCTCTTCCTCGTATCGACGATCTTCTTGAGCGATTGGGTGGCGCAAAGTGTTTTTCTAAGTTGGATTTGAAATTGGGATATCATCAGATTTCGATCCGGCTGAACGATCGTTACAAATCCGCGTTCAAGACGCCGTACGTGCATTTCGAGTGGGTGATCATGCCTTTTGGCCTCACCAACGCCCCGACGACCTTTCAAGCGACAATGACCAACGAGTTTCGTGCAATGTTCAACCAGTTCGTGCTGGTCTACTTAGACGACATTCTCGCCTATAGTCGAACATTGGAGGATCATCTTGAGCACCGTCGACGAGTGTTGGAAACGCTCCGCCACGCCAAGTGTAAAGCCAACCGCGACAAGTGCGAATTTGTCCATCAAGAGCTGGAATACTTTGACCATTTTGTCCACCGGAGGGCATCAGTCCGTTGTTAGACAACATTCAATCCATCCAAGAAAGGCCGGAGCCGCGGAACATCACAGATGTTTGTTCGTTCCTTGGCCTTGCCGGCTACTACCAATGGTTTATCAAGGGATACTCGAAGATCGCGGCCCACTTGACCAAGCTTCACTGCGAGGATCGACCGTTTGACTTCAGAGAGGATGCGCGGGGAATCATTTTTGGCTCTCAAAGCAACACTGTTATCTGCGGAGGTCTTGCGCATATACGACCCGCTATTGCCAACACACGTTACTACGGATGCGTCCGGCTATGGCATTGGTGTCGTCTTCGAACAACACGATGGTGTAGACTGGCGCCCGGTCGAGTACTTCAGCAAGAAAGTGCCCGCCGTGCACTCCATTGATGATGCATGCAAGAAGGAGCTCCTAGCCTTCGTCCACGCGCTCAAGTGGTGGCAACAATTCCTCCTTGGTCGAAGTCAATTCCGATGGGTAACGGACAACAATCCGTTGGTCGAGTACTTCAACAAG